GCTCCGGCTGCAGGGGTGGGCCCCGGCAGAGCAGAGCTTGGGGCTTTGGGGTTTGCCTTCTGATTTGGGGGGCCCCTTCTGAGCGTCCTGCGTCCACTCGGCCCCTACTCGGAGGTTTGCGTGTCAGCGCCTGCCGGTTTGCAGGAAGCCATCTTCAGCAAGAGCACCGGAAAGGTCGTTTTGAAGACGTTCAGCCTCTACAAGAAGCTGTTGACTCTCTTCCGAGCCGGCCACGACCAAGGTGAGGTGTGAGGAGTGCAGAGACATAGGGTGCAGCTGGGTGCTGTGGGTACCTGCGTGTTGTGACCCGATGTGGGCAGGCCACGGCCGTACTCTGGGCATGTGAAATAGCAAATGTTTTTGCCACTGGTGTGAGTGTGACTTGCTGGACAGAGCTGGCAGTCCTGAGGTGCTCTGCCCAGCAGCACTGAGGTGGGGGGGAGTGACATAGCCACTGGCCTGTCCCCCTGCAGTGGTAGTCCTGCTGAATGACATCCGAGATGTGAACGTGGAGGAGGAGAAGGTCCGGTACTTCGGGAAGGGCTACATGGTGGTGCTCCGGTTTGCGACAGGCTTCTCCCACCCCCTCACCCAGAGCGCAGTCATGGGCCACCGCAGGTAAGGCCCGGCTAGGGGCGGGAGCTTGATCTGGCCAGAGCTTCCAGCTCTGTGCCCCTGGCCCTGTCAGGTGACCCTCGTTACTGATCACCCAGTGTTGGGGAGAGAGAAGATGAAAGTTTGTAGACAAGACATGAAGGGACCTGTGGGAAGGACGTGCAGGCTCATGGCAGCCCTGGCCACCTGTCAGGTGTCGCCACTGGGGACAGAACTGGGCTGGGGCCAGGTGAGGGTGAGACCAGGATGGGAGATGCTGAGTCCAGTTTGGGAGCCCTGGGGGCTGCTGGAGGTGGATGGTGGGGGGTGAGGCTGCCGGGGGTCTTGCTGGCTGCAGCAGGGCTGCCCTGTGCTGACGTGACCTGCCTGTCCTGGTGCTGGCCTCCCCCAGTGATGTGGAAGCCGTTGCCAAGCTCATCGCCAGTTTCCTGGAGCTGCACCGTCTAGAAAGCCCCACAGAGCTGTCTCAGAGCAGTGACAGCGAGGCTGAAGACCCCAGGAGCCAGCACTGACAGATGCCACCCACAGAGAAGCCCCTTGGCCTTGGCTCCTGACAGGGCCCCCGGCTGAGTCGCCCATCCTGAGGCTCCAGGGCTGGAATGTCTGCATCTGGCCCATTCCTGCTGCTGCTTCTATCTTCTGTGTGAGACTGCGGGCTGGGCTTTCTCCCAGGCTAGGACAGGCCAGCGCCATATCCAGGGGAGGCACAGGCTGTGGGGCTCAGAAATCAGCGCCTCCCTGGAACCTGATGGCGGCTTGGCTTGGGCATTGTGGCCCTGTCTGGACAGACCTGCCCCAGGTCTCCAAAATGCAGAGGCCGCCTGAGCCTTCTCCAGTGCAGGGCTTGGACTTCCTGAAGCCAGGTTTGCCAGCCCTGGCATCTCGTAGGAGTTCAGCTCACAACTTCCATGTGCAGGAGGGGAGGGCCACTGCTGGGTCAGGTCCCTCTGTGGACACTGATGCTGGCATGCTGTCCCAGTGTCCCTTGCCCCAGACGCAGCATCCCTTCCCTGATTGGACTTCCTCAGTAGTCAGGGGCCTCCTCAAGGGCAGTCTTTGGGTGGTGAGGTGTGGGGGGCGCGGGGTGAACACCTAGGACCTGCCTGGCTCTGCGTGCTCCCAGGATCCCGCCTCCCCCACACCAATGTGCTGCCTGATGGCTCATCTTGGGTCCCATGAGGACTGGCCCTGGGCTGTTGGCCACGAAAGGATTCCTCCAATGCCCACCCTCAGCCAGGGCAGAAGCCACTTGTTGAGAGAAGAGGTTAGCTCTTCTAGTATTGTGCAGTGCTTAAAACCCAAAAGCTTATGCAGAAACCACATTCCAGCCTCTCCTGAACCCTGGGAGGACCTGGCAGGAGGGGGTTGAGGTCTCAGCTGCAGCCGCCGCCATAGAGGCTGAACGCCAGCCCCCACTGACCTGCGCCTGCGTCTTCTCCTGAGTCCAGCCCCTTCCGAGGGGCAGTGCCCATCAAGAGTGCCCAGTCTGGCCCCTAGGCCTCTGAGCTGAGGACTCCTGAGGCTGCACACCTGGGAAGGACCAGGTAGGACTGGAAATGCTTGCAGTGTTGCCCAGATGCAGGGGTCAAAGGCTCCTCGGCACCCTGGGTGCAGCAGGGTGAACAGCTTTGCCCCGGGTCAGGCCGGCCACGTTGGTGAGCAGGACAGGAGAGTAGTGAGACCCTCTTTGCAGTGGCTGCCAGCCAGCCCCTAGTTGGGGGACAGTCATTTATGCCATAGGCTTTAAATGGTTAAATCTGAAATGTCTTTCCTTCCTAAAATGAAAAGTGTGAAATGCAGTCAAGGTTTCTCGTTTGCCCCCCGCCCCCAGGCTGTAAGATACTTTAGATGCCCCCACCCCACCCCAAGGGCCAGGGTTCCTTCCTAGATGGAGGGACTTGACAGCCTTGACTGAAACCAACTGTAAACCAGGGTCATAATAAAGAATGTTCCAAATTTCTGTTGGTGGGACTTCTAGCATCCACTTTTTATTTCAAAGAAATTAATAAAGTTCTACATGCAGATCATAAAACAGGTCCCCACGTGCCTCTTCCTTCGATGTTTCCTAGTTTTCTTTCTCAGGAGATTGCTGTCTGCACTGAGGGGGCTGCCTGGAGCTCAGCTGGAAGTGAATGTGGGGCCAGAGGCAGCTGGACGCCGGGGCAGGAAGTGCTGCCCAGGCCGACAGCACAGCCCCGCTCAGGGGTCCTAACCAGTGTCCGGGGTGGGGCCTGTGGATGGGGGCTGGGGGGCAGCTGCCTGGCTGAGGTCCTGCAGCAGGCCCTGCAACCGCTGCATGCTGGGGAGCACGTTCTCCTCCAGCCACTCCTCCACGGCATCTGGGTAGAAGACAAGCTGCAGGGCGGCCTCCAGCTCCTGCACGAGGCTGCTCCACCGGGCCAGCAGGCTGGGGGGACGGCTGCCATGAGCTCGCACTCTACACTCGCGTCCTCAAAAACCCCACGGGCCAGTACTGCTCCATGCCTCAGTCTACCCATCCGTAAAATGGGGCTATTAGCCCCTACCTCATCAGGTTGTCGGGCGAATAAATGAGTGGATTTGTCATGTTTTAGCATCTGAGATTGGACCACATTTCACAATTAGCTAAGAGTTTTTCTTGGAGGCTCTTGAACCTCCCAGACAGCTGGTAGCATCTTGCACTTGGTGGGGTGGTCTATGCTAGCTCAGCCCTGAACCAGGAGATGACAGGGGAGGGCCAGCTGGGACTCCAGTCCCCACAGTGCAGGCAGGTCCAGGACCAACCCCAGGGGGTCTGACTCCAGAGATGAGCCCTGGGCCTGCCCTGGCATGTGGGGATCCCGCTAAAGTTAGGGGAAGTGTTAACAAACAATGCCATGGCAGGGACTGATTCATCCAAGAACGCAAGGCTGCAACACCTGGAAGGCTTGTTTTGGTTCAGAGCCAATTATGACAGGTGCTGCAGCAGCCTGGAGGAGGACGGGCTGCCCAGGGCCGGAGCACCGGGTCAGCGAGGGGGGAGGGTTACCTGAGTGCCTCGGGCTGTATGTGCTGGACCATGACCGGGTGGATGAGGTTCCGCCTGCGGTGGTAGGGGCTGAACCAGCCAGTCACGTACCTGCAGCAAAGCCATGGACAACGGCTAAGGCGGCAGCCCAGGGGAGGTTTTACAGTAATGCCCTGAAACACTTAACGATCTGGCAGAAACTTTTAAAACCTTTATTTACCCCCTAGAAAATCTTTGAGAAGGGTGAGGCCAGCCTCTGCCCTGTGCCGGGCGGCAGGGGACTGTCACCTGCCTGCTCACCTGTTCCCCTCCAGCAGCGCATCCACGGAGCTGCGCAGGTGCAGGCTGACTTGCGTGACAAGGGCGAGGATGCTGCTGCCTGGGAAGGAACCGGCCCCCTCGCTGCGGGAGAGCCGCACTGAGAACCGAGGTCCCCAGGGGAAGGGGAAGGGGATGGGGATGGGGATGGGGATGGGGATGGGTCTGGGTGGGGGAGGGGCGGGGCTACCTCACAGAATCAGTTATGTCCAGGCTCGAAATCCCCAGAAAGCTCTCCACTCTCGACTTAACGTAGTCGGCAAATTCTCCTGAAACCAACCACAGGCAGAAGCGGTTGGAGGGGCCGTTCCATGCCGGCCATGCGTCCAGCTGCAGGCCCTGGGGCGCTGGGTGCGGGTGCAGCGCAAGGCAGTGCTGGCCAGGCCACGTGCCGACCCAAGGACACCTCGGGATGGGTGAGGCCTGCGCTTCTCACTAAACACGTAAACTATGTTCCTTATTTTAAAAATCAGAAAACAGAAAACAGGAGCAGCGTTGCACCAGCGCCACCACCCGGACCCGCCTGCGGGGCGGCCGCTTACACGACGGTGGAGCGCTCTGGGGCTCCGAGGCCAACCAGCGTGGCCTGTGGGTGCGACGCGGGTGACCCTCTGAGCCGGGGGACAGCGGGGAGGCAGGCAGGGAGGTGCCAGCCGTGCAGTGGCTGCGGCACGGGGCTCTCCGCTCAGGAACAGCGGGAGCGGAGCTAATGCCACCGGCGTCAGCATGCCTGCTCAGTGTGGGGTGAGCGGGCGTCTGCTTCACCTGCTTTTGCATCTTTCTGTATATTCTAAACGTTCAGAATTAACAGGTCGAGAAACTGAACAGAACATCATCGCAATGCACGTCTCTTCCTTCTCCCTGCACAGCACCGTCCTCGCCAAGCAGCGCTCTGTGCCCTGCTCTCCTCAGAACATCACGGGTGACCTCGTGCCAATACAGACACACTGTCACTCCGATGTCGCACAGTGCAAATGCAGTTTATTCCACCAAGCCCTCGCTGCTGCCACGTTCTGACCAGTGCGCTGAGGAGTGTCCCTGTGCCTTTCTCTGCCTGTGTGTACACGTGTCCCTCAGCTGATCTGGAGGTCGGAGTGTTGGGTTAAGGTGCCCACCAGGGACGGGGCCACCCGGTCCTGCACAGCCTGCCAGACAAGCATTCAGGACGTTCGTGTAGCGAGGGCTGGACCCTTTTCCACATCCGCGTCTGTGGCCTGAGTTACCTTTGCAGGTTCCCTGTGTCTGAGGGGAGTGTCCCTCCTAACTCCCCAGCCTGCCTTGGGCTTAGGCTTGAAGACCTGGACACAGGCCCTGCTGGGGCCGACAGCGGGATGAGCAGGTGGCCGAGCTGGGCTCTGGGAGTGTCCTCCCCCAATGGGCCAACCTCCACCCTGAGGACGACCACAGTCCGGCCCCGGGTTAGGCGGTGGTTAGGGGACAGCAGGAGCCCAGCCTACTGCCCTCCTGGTCTTCCTGGGAGCTACTGGCGGGGCTTGGGGCTGCTGGACAGGATCGTACCATGTAGGAGCAACTGCAGACAGGCGGCCAGGGATGGGATGCCCACAGGGAGCAGCTCGCACAGCACGGAGAAGTGGTCGTACCTAAGCCCACGAGAGAGGCCTGCTCAGCACCAGCCCAGCCTGACCGAGGCCATCCTGACTTGGGGCGCTCTGTTCCTTTCTCAGGTTGCCAGGCTGCACATCAGTCCCTGGGGGTGGCCCAGCCCCCTCCATCCACCCAGCCCAAGGTTCCCGAAGTGGCTTCTGTGTGGTAGGGATTGCACGTCATGTCAGTTTTAGAAATGGGATTAAAAGGAACACGTCAGGGTCCGATGCTGCAGTGTTCATGCATGTGGATGGCCACCTCTGGGAGACTCTGCCCATGACCCACCGGGCAACATGGCCTGGCCCCCGCCCCACGCACACTCTGCTCTGAGGAAAGCAGAGGCTCTGTCCCTGGGGGCAGTGCACTGGTGTCCCCTTCTCCAGGGTTGTGGCTGTAGCCTCTGAGCCCATCTGATTGGCTGGGGTTGTGGCTTTCCCCCTGGGGCCCATGAGAACAGTGTCTGTCCCCAGCGAGGGCTGAGGGGCTCAGCCTGGGCCCAGAGTGGGGGTCTGGGTGCCCCCACCTGCACACGCCTCAGAGCTGTGAGTGGGGAGGTGTGAACGTGGGTGACACCTTGGGCGAGCTGCGTGGTGTCTGATGTCACACTGTTGGGCTCTCCTCAAGTAAGTGCCACCTTTTATGGAACCCTGGGCCACTGCCCTGTGAGGCGGGGGGCTCTGCTCTATGTGGATAGTCATGGTTTAAATCCAGACTGAGATGCACCCCGTGCGCACATGGTAGACACTTAGTAGGCAAGACCGTGGGAGTCTTCTAGAAGCTCCCATAGGACTGGCTGCTGCCTCTGTGTCTGCAGCCAGGCTGGCCAGTCACAGCCAGACATGCCCGGAAGGCCCTGCCCTGTGGTCCCCACCCTGACATTCCTGACAACTTCATCTGAGCCTAAGCTCTGCCAGTGGGGTTGGAGGGGACGGGCCTCCCGATGCCGCCAGCCGCCTGGCTCCCCTGCGCCCTGCCAGCCCACAGGACAGGACCCAAGGTCAGGACTTCAGAGACTTTGAAAGCAGCGAAATCCCGAAAGTGCCCAAATCCTTCCTTGTGCCTTGCCTTGCTGTGCATGAGCCACAAACACAGCCTTGTGTGGCACACCTGGGGGTGCTCATGGCCCTGAACACCTGAGCGTCATCCCCTCAGGAGAGCGTGGGGTGGCCACAGGGGCGTGAGGAGCTCAACCCGACAGCTGTGTCCTGCAACTCCTTCTGGGGCCCAGGCTGCCTCCCTTGTGACTGACCTTGAGAAGGCCCAACACTGGACAGGCCACCATGGTGGGTGGAGAGCCACCCCCAACCTTCCCAGGACGGGCCGCTTGAGGGCTTACCTCTGCCAGCCGGTCAGGACGATGCCCTGCAGCGTGTCCGCCGGCCCGCTGCCCGCCACCTGCAGCCACTGTGCGTGGTTCCTGAGGTGGTGCTCGATGGGGGGCAGGGCTTGGCTGGCCCCCGTGGCCCCCTTGAAGGCACTAGCAGCCCAGAGCCGCGGAAAGCCGCACTCCCGGTACTTCTCCATGAGGAGGACTGTGCGGACAGGAAAGCAAGTGGTGAGCAGCTCCTGCAGAGACAGCCGGCCGCCACGGCCCTGGACCCGCACCCCAGGGCCACACACTTGTCCAGACACAGCAGCGAAGCAGCCCATGACCTCTGGGCTTAGCTCCCAGTGGAGGAGACCCAGCAGCTCACATGGGCCCTGAGTTCACCGGCTCGCAAGGAAAACACCTCGGAGAACCGGGAAGGCAGAAGCCCCTGTGAAGGGTGGCTGTCCCAGGGCCAGCTGGGGCCCTACAGAGTGGGGTCTGGGGTGTGAAGGGGCAGTGCCCAGGGCAGGAGGCTGAGCCGGTGATGGAGTTTGGTGTGTTGTCCCCTCCAAAACTCATGTGGAAATCTGATCCCCAATGTGGCAGTGTTGGAAACTGAGTCATGGGGGCGGATCCCTCATGAATGGATTCATGCTCTCCCTGGGGGAGCGGGGATTCATGAGTGAGTCCTTGCTCTATTAGTTCCCGCGAGAGCTCCATGCTTAAAAAGACCCTGGCATCTTCTCTCTCTCGCTTCCTCTCTCTTGCTTCCTGTCGCCATGTGATCTTCTTGTACCCGCTGGCTGCCTGCCACTTTCTGCCAGGAGTAGAAGCAGCCTGAGGCCCGTGCCAGATGCAGCTGTCCCAGAATCATAAGCCAAATAAAGCTCTGTTCTTTATAAATTACCCAGTCTCAGGTAGTTCTGTTATAGCAACACAAAACGGACTAAAACAGCCGGGCTGCTCAGGGCACGTGCTGATCAGCCAACCTCATACCCCCAGGCTGGGCAGTTGGAGTTACAGGGTCATGGTAGACAGCCTGCCCAGGCACAGGGGCCATGACAGGCCATGTGCCCTGGCAGCTTGGTACTGACCTTTGTCATGGATGTCCAAGTCAGCCCTGTAGTCCCAGAGCACCAGCTCCACCAGCTGCGGCACTCCTGACACTAGAGACAGAGAGAACCCACGAGAGCTGAGGAGACCCGTCCAGGCCACATCCCCCAGCCCCACAGACCCACTCTTTCTGCATTAAAATGGGAGCATAAACCATTTTTCATAGGACACAGAATTTTAAGCACAGACTCAGCACTGTGCTACATTTTTGATAATGAATGCCACAATCACAAACAATGCCTTTTCAAAGCCAGCCTGAGCTGGAATTGACCCACCTCTTGGAGCTCTGAGGGGCCACTAGCCCCAGGTGCAGCTGGAACACCCGCTAACTGGAGTTAATTCTAATCTTCATTAATGGGCAGCAGCTGTCAGGAGGATGGCACAGCCCTGGGACACATGAGCCTCGCAGGCGTGTGCCAGCCTCAGCTGGGCACTGGACCCCACCCTAGAGGAGATAGCTGCTTCCCGCCACTACCTGGCTGGTTCAGGTCTCAGCTTAAGCCTGGCCCACAGCCCTCTGCAGAGCTGGCCATGGGACACATGTGGAGCTGTGGCTGCTGGAAGCACCAGACATTCTTGAGGCGCCCCCGCCCACCGGTCTCGCCCTGTCCACTCCATGCTGCTGCAAGACGCTACGGCAACTTTTAGGGGAGTGACTTCCACTTGGCATCTTCATGGAAGAACATGTAAAAAGTGGTTCTGGCGGGATTGTGGGGTTAGCAGCTGGCTTCAGTGCTTCCTCGCTACAGTGTGTTTCTTCTCCGAGGTCGGAGGTCTCGGGCAGCTAAGCAGAAGCCCCTCCCACTTCCCATCCCCGCCCCCCCAGGCCAACCTGCCAGCTGGTCCTTGGGAATGTCCCGTAGCATGTCGTCCCACAGCAGGGGCGTGGTGCCGGGGTGCCGGGCCAGCACATGGCTGGCCACTGCCCTCACGTGGGACAGACACAGCTGTGCTTTGCTGTGCTGCTCCTGCTCCAGCCACCGCCTCGAGGCCGCCCCCTCCCCCAGGTGGTAGACCTGCAGGAAGAAACACACGGGAGAGTCCAGGGTTTTACCTGTGTCCTGAGTCTCAGGCAGCTGCTTGTGGGGAGGAGCTCGGAGCCTTTGCCTGCCCGCGACGGTGACCCTGCCCTCCTCAGTGAGGCCTAAACTTCCACTTGAGATTTCCTTTGTCTTTCCTGGAGGCTGGCTGGACTGGGGATCCAAACACTTGACCTTGGTGTTCCAACACCGTGCTCTCACCAGCTGAGCTGACTGGCCAGCCCAAGACTGGCTTTGAATGTTCATAGCTCTGTCCACAGCTGCCACAGGCAGCAGCTCTTGCCCATCCACACAGAGTGGTATCACTCAGCCACACACAGCAGTGACGTTCTGACCCATGCTATCACACGGGTGCACCTGCAGGGCGTTACGTGAGCGAAAGGAGCCGGCCACAGGCGGCCACATGCTGTGTGATTCCATTTGTATGAAATGCCCCAAACCGGCACACCACAGAGACAGAGACAGAGACAGAGCAGACTCGTGACTGCTGGGCCGGGGGAAGGCGGTGTTAGGGTTTCTGTTTGGGGCGATGAAAGGGTTCTAGATCTAGACAACTGGGATGGTGACGACCCTGACTGTGCTGAAAAGCTGCTGAAGCATGTACCTTAAAATGCTGCAGTGGTAAACTGTGATGTTGTGTACATTTTACCACACACACACGCGCACGCACGCACACGCACACGCGCACGCACACACACACACGCACACACACACGCACACGCACACACACACGCACACACACACACGCACGCACACGCACACACACACACACGCACACGCACACACACACACACACACAAAGATTTCCTTTTCTTAAAGGAAATCTCTGGGACTAAAATGTTTGCAAACCAGTCTCAGGTTCCCGAGCTGCAGACTCGCAGGGCCTGCAGGCGCCACGCTCACTGGGCCTGCACCTGGGCCGGCTCAGGAGCCTCCTCAGGCCCATCCACGTACCTGGAGTCACTCGAGCGAGGCAGGAGGGGTGAGGGTGGGGCTCACTGGGGCTGGAAAAGGCACACATTGCCAGGCCCCCCAGGGACCACCTTTCCCAGCTAGTGCTTCAGGGTCCAAAGGTAATATTTCTTCCTCTCACAACCCAAAACTGCATTTCTTTAGTTGGAACAAAGTAACAACCTCAAACTCAAAAGAGTGCTGGTTCCGAGGGCACGAACTTGCCTATAACCAGGGCTGGCTCTGCCACCGCTGGGCAGGGGCCAGCCCATCCCAGTGGGTAGGTGGTTTCTTCTGATACACGGGGGCCTTTCTCGGGCGTACAGGTGTGCCCCGTGCCCAGGTCCCCCACCCTCCCCAGAGAAGTCATACGACACACTCTCTAAACGGGGACCATCTCGTCGGCAAGCCCAGGTTTTACTCTTCTGTACTTGGACTATTTCTCAATTGAAAGAAGAAATCACGACGTGGGGGAAGATGACGTGGAAGTTGACAGAAGAGGGTGTTGCAGAGTATGGGGACGAGGGCACCCACCTCGTCACACCCGATGTGGAGCCATGGGGAGCCTCCGTGCAGCCCCAGGACCTGGTCGATCATGGCTCCCACCAGCGCCAGGGACTCCGCCTCGTGGGGGTTTAGCGTGTTGGGGAAGAGCGCCACTTCCCGCAGGTGAGCGAACGCCGCGTGCTTCAGCACAAACTGCAGAGACAGGAGGGACTCGGTCACGCAGGGGAGGGAGGGGGACGGGCAGGCGCCTGAGCTCCCTCCCGGCTGCTGCCTCCGACCTGCCAGGCCGAGCCTGGGGCTTCTCTCTTTAAGCTCCTGGTCTCTGCTCAAAGTCTGCCCAGAGGGGCTGGGCCGGGCGACCGAGCGACTCCCCAGAAAGTGCACGCTGGGGCAGAGCTCCAGGGGCCCGGACACGGCTGTCTCTCCTGGAACCTGATCTCAGCTGGTTTCTGAGTCCTCCAGCTAGTTTCTCCATAGCCCTTCTTTCGCCTTCCAGTTCTAATTGGGATGAGGGATAAAACCGTGAGAGACGGCTTCGTTCACTTTCACGAAGGCAGGCAGCGTGCACGCCTGGCCATCGAGGTGGGAAAAGGCTGGCAAACCCTCTCCCCCAAACAACTACAAAAATAGAGCAATTTTGTCAAAACAGCCATTTCAGGACTCTGGAAATCAACCAAAGACGAACATGAAACCAAGAAACGTTTACTCATGAAAGACGGCCATGACTTTGGGTAAGAACAAACTCTGTGGCCTCCTGGCCTCGGTTGCTCCCGGCTCCCCCCACCCCGTGCAGGGTCCAGCAGCTTCGCCGCGAGAGGGCTGGACTTGACTTGGGGCTGGGCAAGAGCCCAGCCTTGGGGGACACTGTCAGTAAAAGCAGCAAACTTGTGGCAAACAAATGGAGAGAACGCCCCACCTCGGCCAGCTCGACACAGCAGTCCCCTCTGGCTGAGCCGCGACCAGCTGGAGATTTAATGGGTGACCCTGGAAACAGACAGCCTGAGGGCGACACACACTGTCCTCACGCCCACGACTACACACACATGTGAGGACCTGAGAGGGCTGGGTGGAAGGTAAGAACTGAGGCAATGTGGGGACTGGCTGGACCCGGGCATGTCCCTCCACCCCCACCACACAGACCCAGCAGGGTGGAGGTCTTCTGGGCCCAGGTCTTTGAGCACAACCTCAGGGAAAGCCCTCGACTGACCACCAACTATGAAGACAGAGGGGTGACCCCTGGGAAGCCAGGCTAAAACATAAAAATAAGAATAAAAACAGCAGACACATCAGTGGCCACACACTGGGAGACGGGTCCTGCAGATTAAAGCCAGGCAACTTGCTAGAACACAACAAAACCACCACCAGCACCTGCCGGGGGAAACGATCAGATCTGCTACAATGGGTTGTCTAAAACGTTCAGTTGTCAACCAAAAATTATGAGATGAGCTAATAAACTGGAAAGTGGAACCCAGATTCAGGAAAAAACCCAGTGAGTCGACACTGAATGGGCCCACGTGGAATTCATCAGACAGATATTTCAAAGAAACTATTACGAATGTGTCCTAAGAATTAAAGGAAACTATTTACAATAATGGAAATGAAAAACGCACTTGATGGGCTCAGCAGCGGATCTGAAATGTCAGAAGGACCAGTGATTGTGACAGTAGAGCGAGAGAAGTCATTCAGTCTACGTAACACAGAGAAAAGTGACGAAAGGAAAATGTTTAGAGCCTCAGAGACCTGCGGGACAACACCGTGCACACCAGATGCGTGCAGTGGGAGTCCCAGGAGGATAGACGGAGAGAAGGGAACAGAGAGAGTGTGAAGAAATGGCCAAAAACCTCCCCAACGTGATGAAAAACAATAATCTACAGCTCTAAGCTCAACGAACCACAAGCAGAATATGGGCAAAGAAACCCAGATCTAGACACATCATAATCAAACTGCTAAAATGAAAACACAAAGAGAAAATCTTGAGCGCATCAAGGAAAAAAACATCAGCATGTTCAGGGCAACAGAAACAAAATTAACGGCTGGGGATTGGCAACACAGTAATTTCTCCCAAATTAATTTACAGATTTAATGCAATTTCAGTCAAAATTCCAGCAAGGTTTCTGTAGATACACAGACCAAACCTAAAATACACACGGAGAGGCGAGGGAACTAGAACAGCCCAAATGATTCTGGAAAAGAATAAAGTTGGAGGAGTCGTACTACCTGATTTTAAAGCCTACAAGAAAGCCACAGTATCCAAGTAAAGGGAAGTCGTACTGACCAACGGAACAGAGCAGCCTAAAAACAGCCCCCCACAAATACGGACAATTGATTTTTGACAAAGGTGCAAAGGCAATTCCATGAAGAAAGGACAGTCTCTCCAACAAGTGGTGTTAGAATAAAAACTAACTCAAAATAGATCACAGATCTAAATAAAAAGGTGTGCGAGTGTAAAACTTTAGAAGAAAACACAGGAAAAGTCCTCATGATCTGGTGGTTGGCACGTTCTTGGAAACGATCCCAGAAGCTCTTGCTTTTGCCACTTTTGCCATGTGACACCCTGTTTGCTGCAGGGCCCACCAAGAAGGCCCTGACCAGGGGCACCCCTCGACTGTGGACTTCTCAGCCTCCAAACTGCTGAACAAGTAGAATTACTTGATCAATTCAGTACCAGCAATAAGTCATTAACAGGAAAACCATACCTTTCAGCCACACTTATATTATTTATAGACTCTCACCAAGAAGTAACCTGGGTACGGAGGACAGCGGCTGTACTATTTACAATAATAATAATAATAATAATAATAATAATAATAATAATAATAATAATAATAATAATAATGGAATTGGTCTATTGTTGTGTTTTATTTTGAACATGTATAGTAAACTTTTTTTCCTTTTTGTCTTTTTTCGTGACCGGTAACGGGATCGCAACCCTCGGTGTCGCG